AGGAAAGCTACTTAAACTTGAGCATTAAAAATAGAGCTCTGTCCTGTACAGAATGGAGAGTTCTCAGCTTCTTTTGCCTAAAGCCCATCAGCTGAAATTGCCCCCTTCCCATCCTGAAGGCCACACACGCAGCGAGGGGATGTCTCCTCATTGGGGGCCACGCAGGGTAATAGATAGCAGGCAGTGCTTGTGACCCAACGTTCTGGTTGGAGTTCCTCTTTAGGTGGCTTCCTGGTGACACAACCGATGCGGCTCAGCTCTGTGAAAGGGACTGAAGCTTGTAGAGGGGGTGCGGCTGGTTTCATCCGCAATGATTGAGTCCAGGAAACAACAATACTCAGAAAACCAAAGTATACAAAACGCAGAAAGGGGAAGAATTCCCACCGCCGACTCTCACTTCTCCTACTGCTCACCCAAACTGTACTCAAGTCAGCCCTCCATCAGTCATCAACACGGCTTAAAGTGACATTCAACACCCCATGGTTGTTTCCCTTCTCTTTGCTGCTCTTCCTTTTAAATCCTTATCGCTTCTCATGCTGGGGGAGAACTTCCCTTTGCAGCTGAGTGCCTCTTCCTGTAGTGCTGGCTCAGGTTGTGAACCTGCACACAGACACCATGTATCCATTCCAGAGACAAGGCAGTCTGCTGCAAAACAGAAGTTCTGCCCAGCATGAGAAAAGATACAGATTTAAAAGGAAGAGCAGCAAAGAGAAGGGAAACTACCATCGATCACAGTAAGGCGCACATTACACTATTGTTTTATGTTTGAAAAATCTGAGGGTTTAATGTCACTTTAATGCTCCGGGCACAGAAACATCCATTGAAACATATTCCTCAACAGAACAAATGATAGAAATCCGCTTTGTGTGCACTCAACATCTCTGCAAACAGAGATATTACCTTAAAGTACATTGCCAATGCTGGGAGCAGAGCTGTGGGAGGGGTCCAGCAGGCCACGCCCACTACAGGAAACTATAAGAGGGGGCGGAGACCAGACCAGTCACCCTGCATAAGGAGAGAGAGCAGCAGTGACCGGTCTTTATTACAGGAAGCTCCATGTCTCACACTGGATTACTGCACAAATCAGGAAGAAATACACAAAGCTCACCAAGATTTGCACTTCCACCTCACTATACACTTTCTAATAGGACCGGTCAGAAGTGCATGCTGGGATTTGTAGTTCCTTTTTGGTATATCCCCCCCCCCCCTCTCCCGATAGGACCTGTCAGGGGCCATACTGTTATTTGTAGCTCCACCCCAATACATATCGTCTCTAATAGGACCCGTCAGTGAGGCCATGCTGGGATTTGTGTTCCCACCCCAGTATATATTACCCCCTAACAGAACCTGGTCATGCTGAGATTTGTAGTTAATCCCCAGCATATATACCCTTTTAATGACCTTTCAGGAGGCCATGATGGGATTTGTAGTTCCTCCCTGGTACATATCCCTTTATTGGAGCTGTCAGGGGCCATGCTGGATTTTGTAGGTACTCTCAGGTATATATCCCCCTTAACAGGACCTGTCAGAGGGGCACATGTAGTCCCACCCCATATATATTCCCCCCAATAGGACCTGTGAGTGGGTCATGCTGAAATGTGTAGTTCCTCCCTGGTGTATATCACTTTTATTGGACCTGTAAGTGTCAAGGGAGGTCATGCTGAGTTTTGTAGTTCCTCCCCGGTATATATCCCCTTTAATAGGACCTGCCAGGGCCATGCTGGGATTTGTTATTCTTCCCCGGGATATATATTCACTAATAGGACCTGCCAGGTAAGCCATGCTGGGATTTGTAGTCCTCCGCCGCACACCCCAGGCAGGGCATTTGCTTAGGAGTGGCGGAGCAGGATGTCATGTGACTGTGTAGGCAGAGTGGGGGCGCTGTTGCAAACTCTCCCTCACACAGACCGTTTCCATGGCAACTTCGCCCCGCGCTCCCAAAGTGTCCGCCCCGGTTCCGAACCTCTCACCTTCGGTCCAACGTCCTTAGCCCGGAACTGGGCCCGGGAGAACTCCTCCAGCAGCTCCCCCAGGCCATTGTGCCGGCCGGACTCCTCCATAGCTCCAGTCACTGGCTGCGGCCCATCCCGAAAACCGGAGTACCGGGAGCCGCCCGACAGTACATCCGTAGCACCCCTGGCGCTTTCTTATGACGTCTCTGACACCTGTCACCCGCCGGCAGTGATGACGTCACGGTACGGATTGGCGGCCATGTTGGTTGGGGAACAAAAGTTGTTACCATTTGACAAATAATTTGGATATTCTAGAAAGAGAATGAAGTGGTGTGCACTGTGCAGGATGTGGGACTGCAGGGGACGCAAGACTGGGAAATGTGCTTCCCCGAAAAAAAATATTACAGCGCTGCAATTCCACTTTTGACCGCTGAGTAATGAGCACTATTAGTCATCTACATAGCGCGGACACTGATGTAGTTCCGTGTTAGGCCGCTGGTGGTAGCCGAGAGCAGCCTCAGCATTTGTTTAGATTGTGGAGATATTGCTGTAGTTCTACTTTGGGCCGCTGGAGGCAGTAGAGAGTACAGTCAGCTTTTATTTATATAGTGGGGACGCTGCTGTAGTTCCGTATTAGAGAATAGCACCGTGTTTTGTTTAGTTCTCTACTGGTGGCAGTAGAGAACAGTTATGTTTACATAGTAGGGACACTGCTGTAGTTCAAGGTTACCCCGCCAGAGGCAATAGAGAACACAGTTATTTATCTTCATATAGTCGAGACACTGCTGTAGTTCCGTGTTAAGCCGCTAGTGGCAGTAGAGAATACAGTTTTGTTTATATAGTGGGAATACTGCTGTAGTTCCGTGTTAGACCGCTAGTGGCAGTAGAGAACACAGTCAGTTTTCTTTCTATAGTGTGGACACTGCTGTAGTTCCCTATTGGGCCGGCTGGTGGCAGTAGGGAGAAGGCTCTATCGCTGAATACTGGCATGACTGCTACCGTAGTTTGCTGTGTTCCCAGCCAAATTGGGCTATTTGTAAAACCAATTTATGTTTCTAATGTTTATATCATGCTGAGGCAGCACTCTACAGTACACAGACGACTCAAATCAGTTCCACCCCAGGAAATGTACAATTTAAAGAACTGAAGGTTGCAATAAAAATGCTAGTATGTACAATTTTATTTCTTTGGGGGTTTTTTGTAGACGATACTTTGTATGCCTCATAGCTGGGAAGGTGGGCATAAATTTTTTGGGTTCTTGCTGGAAAGGAAAACCTTTGTATGGGCTCTATTAACATATACACCATTAACACCCATTGGTCAGTCCAGAAAAGACAAGAAAGCAGATAACGGTAACATGGAGTTGCCATTCAGTGGGTAAGGCATCTCACCCCCTGCCACTCTCAGTCAGGTATCTACACATGCGGATATATATCATTCAGCCTAGACATATCTGAATTATGGATGCACCGATACCGATATTGCCCATGAAGCCGGTGTTATATTGAAAGAACACCAACTTCACATGCCGAGGCTGTCTGGCTTCCTGACCAATCAGGAAGCCGGGCAGCGAGTCATGAGGTGTCATCCGGCTTCCTGATTGGTCAGGAAGCCAGGCTGATTAGGAACAAGTGAAGCCGGCTTTCTAGCCAAACAGGAAGCTGGGCGGCACGTCATGACCCGCCTCCCAGCTTCCTGATTGGCTAGGAAGCCGGCTTTACATGTTGCTATGCAGCCTGGCTTCCTGACCAATTAGGAAGCCGGGATGCGAGTCATGACGTGCCGCCCGGCTTCATGATTGGTTAGGAAGCCAGGCTGCCTACCAACAAGTGAAGCTGGCTTCCTAGTCAGTCAGGAGGCCGGGCGGTATACTGAGACCGCCGCAGCCAAGACGGATACCGACAATGCGGTCGAGATCCACCCAGCTGCGTGAATGACAGCTGGCTCTGCCTATCTAGAGGCAGAGCCAGCTGTACCCGCCCCCTCCCCGTCTGATCCTCCAGACAGTGCTGGAGGATCGGAGGGGGGGAATCCCTGCTGGGAGCCGTGACTGACAGTCACGGCTCTCTGCAGTGACATGATCGATAAGTGAGCGCCAGACGGTATGTGTTCGCTCACTTCCCGATCTATTGAGCCGACGTGTGACATGAATTTCACTCACCTCATAGTTCTCCTTTAAGGAAAATGAACTATGTGATTCTCCAACTGCCAGTAATATAAATATTAGCCGTGGCTATGGATTGTGTCATATTTTTACAACTGTGTAACAGCACAGAGGGTGCTTCTCGGACAATGGATATCAGTGAGTTCAATATGGAGGGTGTTGTATGATAAAATGCTCAAGATCCTAAAGATTTGAAGACTGAATGTGATAGTGCAGCCTGAGCTGTTTTTGTTTTATAGTTTTTAGCCCAACTGGGGGTCCAATTGAAAAGAAAAATGGCTGGAGTTACATTTTAAGTACTTGCAAAGACACTTTTCGCTCACCTCCCGATCTACTGAGCCGACCTGTGACAGTCTCATTGTCACAGGTCGGCTAGAACTATGAGGTGAGTGAAAAGCAACCTCATAGTTCTCCTTTAATGACACTTGACATGTGCTAGACAGCTCTATAAGGCAAAGTTTATTGTGAGACTTCATTGTGCTATTCATTCCCTTATCTGTAAGAGACCACACGTCCCTCATGTCCTGGTGTGCTTCAATTGAGACATTCGATTGAATTAATTGAGAGTGTGCGGCTGTGCTGGACGCCGGGGCCCAAGTAAGAGTGCGAAGCACTGGGAGCCTCTCTCAGTCTCTGGCTGTGCTAGGCCTTTCTTGAGTAAGGGAAGCGGTTGTGGGCTTCTTTGTGATTGTGTGACTTCCACTTTCTACTGCCTGCTTTTGGGGCATTGGTCCTCGCTCCTCTCCCTCCATCTGAATTTTGGGGGTTCTGCCCAGATTGGTCCGCTTTGATGCTAACCTGCTTAATCGATATCCTCCATCTCCTGAGGAAGCGCTTTTTAGCGTGAAACGCCAGGAAACTATACGACTCCTCCACTTCGAATGATTTATAAACCAATCATGTTTATTCTCAATCATGTTATATATGTATTCAATCAATAATGTATTTTTTGATTTAACTCAATGAGTGGAGTGAGTCTCTTAGGAGATATCTGATTAGCTGGCTTTCTTAAATGAATTTTACACTAATATTTTAAGCATTATTTAATAAAAAAAACATTTTTTACTCTTAATTGCCTTGGAATTGTCAGCCGGTACCTTAAAAGCCACATCTTTTTCTTTTTGTGATCACTTTAGCCCGTCTAATGGGTCCATTTAAAAAAAAAATCGCTGAAGTTACATTTTAAGTACTTGCAAAGACACTACCAATAGATTTCAATTTTAATTTTAATTTGGAAAATAATTTGGCTCAAAAACAGCACTGTAAATGCATGCATGGTACCTTCAAGAGAACCTCCTCCCAAATATGATATCAAAAATTCCAATCAAATATAAAAAAGGTGTACAATTAATAGCACCTACGGTCAACTTAACACAAGTAGGCATGCAGAAGCCAGTAAAGTTTAAAGTCAACATCAAATCTTAACTTAATGACACTTGACATGTGCTAGACAGCTCTATAGGGCAAAGTTTATTGTGAGACTTCATTGTGCTATTCATTCCCTTATCTGTAAGAGACCACACGTCCCTCATGTCCTGGTGTGCTTCAATTGAGACATCTCCTTTGTTCCCTCAAGCACCTATCTTGTGTCAGCTCTCACACTAATTGGATATAAAATGTGTCCTTGAATTGGTGCCCTTGCATCCCTCGCTTCCAAGACACATTAACACTTTAACCCAGTCTGGCATGGCTTATTGAAGGGGGACATGTCAGCTTCGGTATCATCAAATAAGCCTCTGTCTGTCCGCAGTAACTGAAAACAAGGCTGTGCATAGAAACGTAGAAGAGTGATGGCAGAAAAAGACCAAGTGGTCCATCAGGTCTTCACCATGTTTGATTTTTTGTTTTGTTCTTTTTAACCTTTTTGTCTGAGTATAGATCTATGTTTGTCCCCAAGCATGTGAATTTAACATTAACTGTTGACCGACTCACTAACTCTGTGGCAAGTCTGTTCCAAGCATCAAAAAATACTTTCAATGCTTAGCTGAAAAGTTTCCTCCTGCTAGTTTGAGGTCATGTCCCCGTATTCTTGATCTTAGCTTCCTACTGAAAATAATGAATTTAAAGGTTTCAGTCACAGCCTTCCTTTCCATTCTTTCCTCAAGACTGTACATATTAAGTGCCTGCAGTCTCCCCTGATATGTTTTATCCCGCGGCCCTTTCATCAATTTTGTTGCATGTCTCTGGACTCTTTTTATCTTATCAGTATCTTTTTGTAAGTGAAATCTACAGAACCGGACACTGTATTCTAAATGAGGTCTAACTAAAGGTCTATGTACAGGAATCTGGGCCCTCTAGTGATAAATAATTATCTATATATCAGAATCAGGACCTCCTGCTGGAGATCCCTCTAGTGATAATAAAGACCTATATAAGGGAATCAGGACCTCCATCCAATTGCAGGTGATCCCTCTAGTGATAACTAAAGATCTATATAGGGGGATCAGGACCTCCTTCCACCTGGTGGTGATCCCTCTAGTGATAACAAAGATCTATATAAGGGAATCAGGGCCTCCTTCCTCTTGCTGGAGATCCCTCTAGTGATAGCTAAAGATCTAAATGTGGGATCAGGATTTCCTTCCTCCTGCTGGTGACCCCTCTAGTGATAACTAAAGATCTATATAGGGGGATTAGGACCTCCTTCCACCTGCTGGTGATCCCTCTAGTGATAATTAAAATCTGTATAATGGAACCAGAACCTTCTTCCTCTTGCTGGCAATCCCTGTGCCTATTTGCAATTTTAGCCATTCTATTTTCTCCCTGTTTCATGTGCATGTGAGATATATTTGTTGTTTTATTAACTTTAGGAGTTATAAAACCCTAATATTTGAAAATAAACTACAGCAGCATACGTCAGCACTTACCTTGTCCATACCTTCGTCTTCTTTAAAAGCTCACTCTTCTTCTGAGATGAGCTGGTCCAAGGATCAGGGTCCTTCTCTTGGGTGGGCCTGTTGACTTGCATGATCCCTACTGAGTCACCCTTCTATGCATGTTCCAGAGAAAGAGCCTCCAATTCTGCACCGAAATGCACAGGTAGCCAGAGAGGTCTGGTCCCAACAAGGGGGGGATCAGGGGTATTTATGTGCTG